TTGTGCAAATGGAGACTGCTGTATCCAATTCTCTCTTTCACACACAGTCGTGGGGCTGTCTTTCCCATGTAGACAAATGCCAAAGAGGCCCAGCCTATTCATATTACAAAACCTGTCCATTGAACCTTTTCACACCCACACAACACTCAGCCACAACTCCACAAACCACACCCCCCCCCCCACAAAACCCAAAGATTGTCAAGGTATATCTCCAATCACAGTCTACTTTCCAGATGTTACTCCTACCTCAAAATGCCAGCCTGCCTAATACAAACCAGACTTTTGAAGATTGTATGACTTCAAAAAAGAAAGAATGAATGAAAGAAAGAAAGAAAGAAAGAAAGAAAGAAGCCAATCATCTCAGAATAAAATATCCTTTTGTCTCCAGAAAGTATGAGCAGGAAAACAACTATTGGGAGGGAAACCCCTTCTTACTTTTGCATAAAGGCCTTAAGTGAAAGGGGTGTTAAAACAAACAGGACAAACAAAGACATGTGGAAAGTAGAGACTACTGGTAAATCCTCATGGCTGTGCTATTAATGCGGGGTTTTCAAATTCTTCATCAAGGACCACAACAAACTTATGATTGCCTTCAAAGGGCTGTGGAATCTATGGACAGAGAATTTGTGGGTACAGAGAGCCAACTATATTCTTTTACATAGTGGCCTGTGCTCTTGATTTTGTCATCAACTGGAGTCCCCAGATGTTATTGAACAGCACTCAATCACCTTTGATTGTCCACCATACAGACTAGGGAGAATGGGAACTGCAGCTCAACAGCATTTGTGGCTCTGCGATTGGGGAAAGGTTCAAGGACATTTAAACATCAGACATCATCTCCACAAGCTTTGTTTCTAAATTCAAACCCCATTATCCTAAACTGAACAAACTACAGCCTTCCAGATGTCACTGCATCATAACTCCCATCAGCTCTTGTCATGATGTCTAACGATGGGGAATACAGAAGTTGTAGTCCAGCATAAAATGATATGGAGGGCTGGATTTGTCCTGCAAGCCTTGAGTTTGACACATGGGCCTTATGTCAAAGGAATGTTCAGAGAAATGAGACAAACATAGACAGGTGGAAAGTAGAGTTCTGATCCTCAAGGGTTTGCTATTAATAGATCTGCAATTATTTCCCAATCTCAGGGTGCATCTATACTGTAGAATTAATGCAGTTCGAAACCACTATAACTGCTATGACTCAGTGGGAGTTTATGTATTTATTTACTCCATTTCTGCCCTGCTCTTCTCACCCAGGAGACTCAGTGTGGCTTCCAAAATTGGCAAAAGCATAACAAATAGACATAATAAAATAATTTCATTAGGAAGGGAATTCCATAGATGAGGGGGCATCACTGAGAAGGCCCTGTCTCTCGTCCCCACTAATGGTGCCTGTGACGGGGGTGGGATCACGAGCAGGACCTCCCCGGCTGATTTTAATCCTCTGCCCACTTCATAGGGAGAAATACGTTTGGACAGGTAAGTTGGGGCAAAGCCAACACTTTGAATTGTGTTCGGTAGCAGACTGGCAGCCTTTGGAGCCGACATAACGCGGGGTTGTGTGTTCCCAGTACATTGTAGCTTTAAATGACTTCTCTACCAAAGAGTGCTGGTGTCTTAACAAATACCAAATACCAGAAGAAGTTACCGTATATTCCGGCATATAAGACGACTGGGCGTATAAGACGACCCCCAACTTTTCCAGTTAAAATATAGAGTTAAGATGACTCCCATGCATAAGACTACACCTGCATATAAGACGACCCCTGACTTTTGAGAAGATTTTCTTGGGTTAAAAAGTAGTCTTATACGCCAGAATATACTGTATATATTATTCACTTAGGCTTCTTGTCTTATCTTACAATGGAAAGGGGTTTCACATTTGCAGGACTTTAGTAAGGCTAAGATGCCAGCCCAGTTGACTTGTTTGTGGAAAGTGGAGCAGTTCCCATCTTTCCCTTCATCTCAGTATGAAAAATTACTTAGACAGTACCTATCTTTCTCCCCAGTCTTAGGGTCCTTCTATACTGCCATATAATCCAGATTATCAGAGCAGATAATCCACATATGCCTTGAACTGAATTATCTGAGTCTACACTGCCATATAATACAGTTCAAAGCAGATAATCTGGATTTTATATGACAGTATAGACAGAGCCACAGTGTGCATCAAAATGGGATCTTAAACTTAAGTCTGCTACTCCTTAAAACCGCAAGTAAAAAGAAAACACGTTTTGATCTAAGTCAATCAATTATTTCTCAGTTTTCAAAAAAGAACCTTTGAGTAGATCTCAGGGCAGACCTATTTCACAATCTTGCACTAGTATTCCTGATCTATAATAATTCAAATGCATGTCCTCCTGAATCAAAGAAAATCAACTCTCCTCCCCTTAACCACGATTTCACTTTTGGTTTCAACTGGAAAGTCTGAGGCTTTCTATACCAGCCTCTATGGTACACCAGGTTAACTTGAACTGCCATGACCACATCCTATAGAATCCTAGGATTTGTAATTTGTAAGGTATTTAAAGAGACACTGTTAACTGCTATAGCAGTTTGATACAATTGTATAGCTGGAAGATTTTAAGCAGCATCAGCACTAGGGTGATGGTGACTGGACAAAGACTGATATGGTATCATGTTGAAGCTACACATCTACTATAACTGATCCTATGGTAGTGTGTGCCTGCCTATAAACAGGCAAGGTAAACAACTCTTTGTCTCCAAAATCCTTTACTAACACGATATAGATTGCAAAAAGAGAGATATGGATAAAAAACAGATAAACCTGACCCACTAGTTCTCCCCAGGATGTTAAAAAAAGCATTGATCTCGATGTTTGGTGACTAGAATCATGAGAAAAAATGATGAAATAATTCTTCTCTCGTCTGTAGAAGGTTCAAAATGTTTTTTTTACCTGACCCTGATTGAATCATTTCCCATGAGCACAATGTACATATGGTGGCAAGATAAAAGCAGGATACAAATAACAATAACAATAATAAATTTTCTGGAAACTACAAGAGAGTTCTTTTTTGTGATACCAGAACCTATCCCTTTTCTTTCTACATTATTTTTCCCTCTGATACCTTAAAGATTTACTATCCAAGCATATATCTAGTTAGCTGAGGCATACTTCAACAGTGACATTTGAGCACTATGTCATGAATCACAAGGAGTTGTAGTTTTACAAGATCTTTAGCCCTTTCTGCCAAGAACTGCTGGTGCCTGACCAAATTATAAATCTCAACAATCTACAGCATTGAACCATGGCAATGAAAGTAGTGTCAAACTGCATTCATTCTACAGTGTAGATGCAGCCTTAGATGTATTGTTGAAGGCTTTCATGGCCGAAATCACTGGGTTGTTGTGATTTTATATATCTGTGGAATGTCCAAGGTGGGAGAAAAAAAAAACTATTGTCTGTTTGAGGTAAGTGTTAATGTTTCAATTGGCCATCTTGTTTAGCATTTAATGGCCTAACAGTTTCATGGTCTGGCTTCCTACTGCCTGGGGGAATTCTTTGTTGGAAGATGATTAGTTGGTCCTGATTGTTTCTTGTCTGGAATTCCCCTGTTGTTGTTTTGCACCCAATGGTTTTTGCATTATCAGGCTTTTGTATGTTTGTTTTGTAACTACAAATATATTTGCAGATGTAAGGCACTCTGTGTATGTATAGAGTCCTGATCTGGAATGAAGTGAGAGGATCCTTATAAATCTTGGCCCAAAAAGTACAGATACCTTTTCAAGACCTCCACAAGACCCCACAAAATGGCTTGTTTTCATTTGTGGGAGTCTGGCTGATTCCTCATTGATTTAAAAAGTGATTTTCACCTTCAAGGAAGGAGCTTTTCCTTGTTCCTCAATCTCCAAACCCTTCTGTCCAACACAAAGCTGGATTTCAAAGGAGGCATCTCTCTTTTTCTTCCTTCTAACCCTCCTCACATTTACGCAGAAAGATGTCCCATTGGGTTTCATGAAATGATTCCTGACCTGGAAGAGAGTTTGTTGACTCCAAAAAGGGTGGGAATGTTTTTAAAAAGCCTTCCTCTTGGCGACGGATATTACGAGGGAATAAATCAAGCACACACTTCCCTCCCAGTAGTACAATCAAGTTTTCCCAGAACTTAACAAAATGTAATTCAGGTGGGGGGAAATCCATCCACACCCTTCTTCATTGAAAGTTCAGTATCAAAGCAACACCCTTTCATACAATAGCCCTTTAAACTACTGCACAAAAGTAGATCCGCACTGAACTCTGGCTTGGAGAGCAAACTTTATCAGCCTCTGTGCGTTGATTCCCCTCAAACAAAGAAAACCTCACTGATCACAGTCTCAAACCAAAGGTAAAAAGGTGTGGTATCCTCATCTTTTTGTTTCAAGTTTTGATAAAAAAAATTGTCTACTCGGGCACAAAACATTCACAAACACAGAGCGAAATCTACAAATGCATACAATGGTGTCTTGTATATATTTAGAGAACTTTTGAAAACTCACATAAGCTAATAACAATATCAATTATTTTAATTTAATTTACTTAAAATCAGCACATGAGGAAGAAAGTTATGGGGAGGGAATTTTGTAAACTATTTTAGTGTCTGTGGGTTTTTTCAATTTGTTGGATTTAAGCTGCAGTTTTGAAAAATTACTTTTTAAAAAATCTGTATATTTCCTAGAACATAACATACATGAATATAGAGTCTCATAATCTATCCACAAACACTCAAATTGAAAACACTACTTTTTAAAATAAAAAATGAGCAACAGATTTACAAGAAAATGTTATTGTAAGAAAAAGTATTAAATTGTAAGAGTTTTCCCTCTGCGCAGTTAAAAAACAATAGATTACAGTTAGAAAAGCACAAAGGAATCAAAGCTGTCTCTCTCTCCCTCTTCCAACAAAGATATATTGTGCTCTAGATCTTCTTTGATAAGGAATTAATGCAAAAGAGAGAGAAAGGATTGCTTAGGGAGGAAAATGGGGGAAATATACTTACTTTGGTATGACGCTGGTTAAGGGGAGCCAAAAGTGAGAGGAAAAGTTTCCTTGAAGTTTGATCTAAAAGAGATTTCAAAAGTAGTGGAGGAAAGAAATACTAAAGAAGGAGGGATTTCAAGCTCTCCACCGCCAGGGTTAATTTTGGTTCATCCCAAAAGTTCCTGCCCACTCTTTGGGACTGGAGCTGGGAAGCACTGGAGTGCGCAAAGGCTTGGTATTTTGGAAAGGTGACAGTTTGGCTCTGGAATCCTTGGAATGAGGCAGAGGAATTGAATTAGCAGCAGGAGTGACTCAGTTTCAGAAGGGAGGAAGGGGAGGGCCTTCCCAACAGGCCACACCAGCACCCTTAGGGCAAGGTTGGCCAGGAAAAGAGGAGGAGGAGATTTTGCAGTGCCACCCGCCCTCCTTGTCTGCAGATTCTGCACCCATAGATCCCACTATACAAAAACAATGTCCAAAAGGCAAAACTTGATTTTCCAATTTTATATGGGACACTAATTTTGTATGCTGCTGTATATAAAGGAAGAAGCAAACACCACCAACGATTCTCCTCAGTCAACTCTGCTGGACTGGCTATGTCATTGAAACATCCAATCATCTCCCAAAGCAGTTACTTCATTCTCAACTCAAGAACGGAAAATGGAATATGGTGGATAACAGCAGCAGCAACAACAACAACAACAAAAGCTTAAAGATAGGCTTAGTAAAGGTAAAGGTTTCCCCTTGACATTAAGTCTAGTCGTGTCCAACTCCGGGGGATGGTGATCATCTCTGTTTCTAAGCAGAAGAGCTGGCATTGTCCATAGATGCCTCCAAGGCCATGTGGCCGGCATGACTGCATGAAGCGCCGTTACCTTGATCTACTCACATTTGCATGTTTTCAAAGTGCTAGGTTGTTAGAAGCTGGGGCTAACAGCGGGAGCTCACCCCACTCCCCGGATTCAAACTGATGACCTTTTATTCAGCAAGTTCTGCAGCTCAGCGATTAAACCCGCTGCACCATCGGGATCTTAAGCCTAACCTTAAAAATGTGGTATAAACACCAAGAACTGGGAAGCCCTGGCACTCGAGCATTGAAACTGGAGGTCAACTGTGATCAATGGTGCCATGAATTTTGAAGAGGCAAAAATAAAGAGTGAAATAAAGAAATGTGTGAAGAAGAAGCACATCAAGCAAACCCTTCTATCTGGAAATCTATGTCCTCAATGTGAAAAACCATGTGGATCCAGGATAGATCTTCCCGGTCAATGGCTTCAAACTACAAGAAAGGAGATTCCACCTGAATGTTGGGAAGAACTTCCAAGCTGTGAGAGCTGTTCGGCAGGGGAACTCTCTGCTCCGTAGTGTGGTGTAGGCTCCTTCTTTGGAGGCTTTTAAATAGGCTGGATGGCCATCTGTTGGGGGTGCTTTGAATGTGATTTTCCTGCTTCTTGGCAGCGAGTTGGACCAGGTGACCCATGAAGTCTCTTCCAACTATGGTTCTATGAATTATTGATCAATCTGACGGTATTCCCATCTATTCCACATTGAGATTGCAAATCAAAATATTGTGGGTTGCTGTGGGTTTTTTGGGCTGCATGGCCATGTTCTACTAGCATTCTCGCTTGACATTTCACCTGCATCTGTGGCAAGCATCGTCAGAGGTGTTTTGTAATGCACTTTGCTATTCTGTAATTCTTCACCTGCATTCTGTCAGACAAATTCAAAGAAAGAAAGCACAACTCTGGGAAGGAAGAGAAGTGTGGATATAATTGGTGGCATTCTTTTAAAAGAAAACCCTTGAGCTTTTGGTCTTTAGGAAAACGAGATTTCATATTCAGATACCCAAGCTGACTTTGGGGAAATTTGGATAACTAAGGGCCCTTCCACATAGTCATATAACCCATAATATCAAGGCAAATAATCCACAATATCTGCTTTGAACTGAGTTCACACTACCATATAATCCAGTTCAATGTGGATTTTATACAGCTGTGTGGAAGGGGCCAAAGAACTTGGAAAGTGTAATGAAAAAACAGTCTAGTTTAAGTACAGTATTTTCATTCTTTGGCTAGTGAGTTTGCCAAAAAAAAAGTGTGGGGACGATAAAGAAGATGGGCAGTCAGGAGGGTGAGGGTGATCTCAAAGTTTATTGATCAGCCAAGCTGCTTATATATCTTTTCTTGTGCTCTTTGCAAAGCTTGCATAGTAACAGTGAGTTGGATTACATCATTGGCAGAGTGATTGGCTAGAGGTGACCTCATCCTAAGGTGAGGTAGCCTACAACCTACTATCAGTCCCAGGTCATGATGCCCCCTGCATCCCCTTGCCAGGAAGGTGTGAAACATAGGTGTCAGAGGACTGGAATCTGCCATGTCCCTTCAGAGGTATGGTTTGCCAGTCCCCCCTAGTGGTCCATTGCCATTCCTGCACCTCTGCACCAAAGACACAATAGTGTCTCCCCTATATAAGGGATACTAATAATGATAATGTCCCTTCATCCCCCCTTTTCGTTTTTCAACAATTTGTATGCATAAAGGACATCACGCCTGGGAGGGGGTTGTAGGGGCCGTGGCTTGTACATATGCCATAGGGATGGGATGCATTGAATGCAGCAACAGCATATGATCAAACAGCTAGTTAACAGTAAAGCAATTTGAACCGTTCTTCTGATCTAGCCGACAGGAAGCCAGGTCATATATTAGGATATCATTTTGAGGCAGCGGGGAAAGGTCAGCAGAGCGTGAGGCTAGCAAGGAGCTTATAACAATGGGATATATATCAAATGTAGCAGTAGCAGATTATTACATAAGCCATCAATAGTTGTGTGGAATAAACAAATTAGATAATAAAAGTTTTATCAAGCAGGTATAGTGTTTTGTTTAAAATGTTAAGCTAAGTCTTTAAAAAACAACATGCATAAATATTTTGTTGAAGTTATTTGTGAGATTTGAAACAATACATAGAATTGACTGGAGGGTGAACATGGGAATGGGATTTTGGAGGCCTTGGTGCCACGTCATCTTTTTAGGGGCAAATGTAGCGAGCAGGAACCCAAAGCACTTGATTGAAGAAGCCAATGACAGAGAATGTGTGATTAAACAATGTTGTCAAAAAGCAAGTCATGTTTGTTAAAGTTCATAGGTTTATGACAGCCGAAGCAGGAACTCTTGGTTCTTGGCAGGGGGTTGGACTGGATGGCCCATGAGGTCTCCTTTAACTCCTTGACTCTATGACTTTAACTCAAATCGACCCGTCACAGCAGTATCTTTGACTTTAGGCGATGAGGGGAGCTGGGCCTTTTTATTCCGGATCTGGCAACCTGTATCAAGGGAGTGAAAGGGGGTAGGGAGAGGGAAATGCTTCTGGATCCTGGTAACGAAAGAAGAATCAGATAAAATTAAATTCAAATGATTAATGGTAAATAACACATATAGGAAGGCCATTGCTGGAAAGCGAAAGCAAAAGAGCAGCGAAAAGGCCAGGGGGTGACTCCCCCTTTTTCGTTTGTGTGTGAGAAGAAGCAGATGGTTTGTAGAGGTATGATTTGAACGCTCAGTAATTTTGTGTTGTGTGGCCATTGTATAGAATATTAAAGATGTGGGCAAAACATTGTGAACTTAGCATTGTAATATAAGGTATGTTGTAGCAGAGATGTTTATGAATGTATTTAGATGTGTAGGGATGGCTTGGAGACAGAATCAAAACTGTCTGTGATGAAGAGATCAGATTAACTGAACATCTTAAGAAAACTGAGTGTGTTAAACCCAGGTCAATAGTGGGAAGCCATGTTTAACCCCTAGCATTGGGATGGTATGATTTTAAAAACTTTGAAACTGGCACAGAGTTATAAAAGGAGAAAATGTTGTATTAAAATCTTTAGGGAATGTATTTTGAGCAATGTTATGGGTAAGTGGTTTTAATCTGTTGAAATATATGTGGATGAGTGTGGCAATGATCAACAGTAGATCTGTTGGAAAACTTTAGTAATTGTGTAATGAGAAATGGATAATAGGTTTTGTAGTATGAGGATGAAAAGGCATGACCCTTATAGGGCTGTGTTTTGTTGAAGAGCAAGGATTTGGATAGTCATTAATTAATTAATTAATGATTTATTATGGTCTTTGATCAGAAAATGGGCATCGGTGTGTAAGGAAGGGAATTGTAGTTTTTAAGTAGATTAGGCATGGAGGCAGAATGAAAGCACATTTAAAACATCTTATAACATTTTATAAAAGAGACAAATTAAAAGAATAAAACAGAGTAATTAAGCATAAATCAAAAGGTAAACAATCATGAATCAAAAAGTCATTTTAACACAAATGGAAAGGGAGGAGGGAGGCAGCGTTGGTGTGTGTGTGTGTGTGTTTAGCTCTCGGAGCCTGGCCGTGTCTGGGACGGCTAGCTCTCTCTTGTGGAATGTATGCCCCCCTTCTCTTTGGGGTAGCGTGTCTGTCAGCTTGAGTCTCTCTCACAGAAGGGAGAGACTTTTTGATGGATTTTAGTGTTTTGTAAGGTAGATATCAATATATGTCTGGTTTTGAATATCGTTTTATTAACGTTTTTATGAAATAGGTATTTTAAACCTTTGGCTGAGATGTGGGTAATGAATAGGCATGTGTGTGTGTAGTGTGGTAGATTTATGATATAATGGTTTGATCTATTGAAAGCTGAGACCAGACTTTTAAAAATGATGACTTTAGCGTGTTGTGTTTAATATGGATGGGGGAGTTTGGTGTCTTAGGAAAGGGAAAAGAACATTAAAAGAAACAAACAAAGCTATGATTTGTAGACTTAATAAACTCAATCTTAAAATGAACTAAGCAAAAATGTTTAATGTGTAATATGATTAATAACATAGCAAGATATGTTATCATGTAAGCATGTGTTGTCAACCAATGTTTTGTAAGAAGTGTATTTTTGTGGAGCTGATTTATCTGTAAGCATCAGATGAAATGTATGGTTTTTAGGTGTGATTAAAATTTAAAATTGTATGAGTTGAGTGTAATGTGAGTTTTATATATAATTGACCCTTTGAAATGAAAGGGACTTGAAGTTGTGTGTGTCAAGTTTGGTTTAATTTTATTGTTGGTGGAGTTGAGAATGTGTTTTTTGATTGTGAACTATAAATCTCAGGAACTATAACTCTTGATTTTGAAATCAACACCAACTCTATCAGTATTTAAATTGTTGTGTATAGGTATGTGTATCAAACTAGACCAAGCAAATGAGAATCTATTTTGTATATCAGACATGTATATCACAATTTATGACAGTAGCAAACTTATGGCTATGAAACAATAATAACAACAAGCAAACTTATAACTATAAAACAATAATAGCAAATGAAAACAATCTCAAACATTTTTCAGTTGAGGGTTAGTATAACATAAAGAGTTTATCTTAAAGAGCCGTAGCATGAGGAAGGTTGGGAATCACTATTTAGATGTTGTATCGTGGCTCCCATTATATTTTATAATTAATCAATGTTGTTTAGCATTAAAGAAAATGAAGCTTGACAATTTTTAAAGGACTGTGTATTGTTTATTTTTTATCAAAATTAAAACTTTGAAAGCTTTTTTATCAAAACATGATTTAAAAAGAATGAGGATTCTATATATATATCTTTGATTTTAGATTATTTATGTAATATAACTCTGGAACTTTTGATTGAACAGAAGTTTATCTTGAAAATCATTTTGTAACAAATGTCTATTTAATGACACTATAAGTTTATCAGAGGGTGTTTTTTAACCATATTTGTTATGGGAACTTTATGTTTTTGTTGAATGGAAATCTTATTGAATGGAAATGTTTTAATGATGTCTTTTGGAGGGGGGGGTGTTAAAAAATCACACCGACATAGCTGTATCTAGCTGGTGTCGATTGAAATTCAAGGGAATGGGATAGGGGTTGTTAAACTGTCTCACCAATGATGTATTAGGAGAAGGTGGAGGTCTGTGACCTGATAGTCCATCCGGACATGGTATAGGCATTGTTTATTTATGTGACACCCTCTGCAGAGGCATATGATTTTTCAGATTCTGAATCTGGGCAGCAAATGATGATATTAATGATTGTTTTGTGATCAATGTCAGGCTGTTTAAATGTTTGGATTTCGGGAGCCCACTGAATGTATGGAAAAGCAGGATCAAATGTCATTGTTGGGAGCTCCGGTTGGCCAGCTGTTTTAGTGAATGTGTCGGAGCTATAAATTAGATCTGGAATCACGGCTGTTGTGTCTTGAATGGTTATGGTTATGTTTTCTTGGCCGCCAGCATTTTGAATGGTCTGAGGAATCATGTCTCTCAGTGGCTGGGGCTGTAAAAACTTCTCAAGACTTGGCTGTTTATTTTCAAGAGAAGTGAAGGGGAGATTTGAATCGGCGGGGGATGATTCAAAAGCAAAGACACATGAAGGCGAGATAGGGAGGGCTATCTGTGGACATCCTATCTCGAGCGGGGTAAAAAGAGGATTTATGATCTGAGTCGGGAGAGGTTGATTTGTGACCGGAGCCACGGGTGGGCGATTATCTGTCACTCCCAGGAGAGTGAGTGTTTCACAACATTGCTTCCACAGCAATAATTGTTGTATTGTCCCCTGGGGTTTTTCAAGAAAGGTTTGACCTATCCTGACCCAATCTGACGGGTTCAATGAACCTTGTTCTGGATACCAAGGGCACTGGCTGTGAATTTCTCTAACTAAGTCTTCCAAGTTTCCTTGACTGACTTGTAGACCCTCCCTCTGCCCCAACAACTTGCGCAACTCCCCAGCATGATCTTGCTGGTAAGTTGACACATTTCCACCCATCTACTCACGAGTTTGGGAACGGTTGGACCGTTGATCGTGCACGAAAGCTATTCCAGCGGTGAGCAGAAGGCGGGGAGGATCACGTCGGGGTCACCAGATGTGGAGACGATAAAGAAGATGGGCAGTCAGGAGGGTGAGGGTGATCTCAAAGTTTATTGATCAGCCAAGCTGCTTATATATCTTTTCTTGTGCTCTTTGCAAAGCTTGCATAGTAACAGTGAGTTGGATTACATCATTGGCAGAGTGATTGGCTAGAGGTGACCTCATCCTAAGGTGAGGTAGCCTACAACCTACTATCAGTCCCAGGTCATGATGCCCCCTGCATCCCCTTGCCAGGAAGGTGTGAAACATAGGTGTCAGAGGACTGGAATCTGCCATGTTCCCTTCAGAGGTATGGTTTGCCAGTCCCCCCTAGTGGTCCATTGCCATTCCTGCACCTCTGCACCAAAGACACAATAGTGTCTCCCCTATATAAAGGATATTAATAATAATAATGTCCCTTCAAAAAAGTTCTGTATTACATCATCTCTCTTTTCTTGCATGCATTCATACACATACTTGCCAAGAAAAAAGTAATTCCTGGCATTTTTAATATAATAGTGATAGTTTATGAATCACTCCTTGGTCTCCATCTAACGGTGAAATAAGGGAATTTCATCCTTTTGTCATTGTTCTTAAGGAAGTGAGTGAATTTCCTGAGAGTGAAAAACATTAGCTCAAATTGTTTAATGTTTACATCCGAGGACAGCTTGAGTTAGAGTGGATTTTGGACTTCCTGCCAGCAGGAAACACTTTCCTTGCTGGTTTTAACTCTGAGGAATTCCTGCATTGTGACTGTTGTTGTGGCCCAGCTGAATACTGAAAATGGTCTCCAATGGTGAAATGCACTAGTCCAGTGTTTCTCAATCTGGGGATCGAGACCATATGGAGGGACGGGGGGGGGGGGGGGGTGTCAGAGGGGTCACTAAAGAACATTGGAAAACACAATATTTTCTGTTGTTCATGAGGGTTCTGTGTGAGAAATGTGGCTCAATTCTATCGTTGGTGGGGTTCAGAGTGCACTTTGATTGTAGGTGAACTATAAATTCCAGCAACAACAACTCCCAAATGTCAAGGTCTATTTTCCCCAAACTCCACCAGTGTTCACATTTGGGCATATTGAGTATTCATGACAAGTTTGGCCCAGATCCGTCATTGTTTGCATCCACAGTGCTCTCTGAGTAGTGAATTACTAGTCCAATACTCAAGGTCAGTGCCCACCAGTATTTTCTGTTGGTCATGGGAGTTCTGTGTGCCAAGTTTGGTTCAATTCCATCATTGGAGGAGTTCAGAATGCTCTTTGATAGTAGGTTAACTATAAATCCCAGCAACTACAACTCCCAAATGACAAAATCAATCCCCCAGTATTCAAATTTGGACGTCTCGGATATTTGTGCCAAATTTTGTGCAGTGAATGAAAATACATCCTGCATATCAAATATTTACATTGCAATTCATATCAGCAGCAAAATTACAGTTATTAAGTAGCAATGAAAATAATGTTATGGTTGGGGTCACCACAACACGAGGAACTGTATTAAGGGGTCATGGCACTAGGAAGGTTGAGAAACACTGGACTACTCGGTCCTGTGTTTAGACGATTGTCACCAGTGGTTTTCTAGAATGCAATGTAAAAGACGTATTTCTAGAATGCACTTGAGATTCTCGTGTGTCTGTGGGCTAGAGAAAAATAGTAAAGAAGACCTCCATAACCATAGAATACATATCTGTGGTTTCACTAGCCTGTGTCCAGGGTTCAAATGGTGTGTCTAGGAATTTTCTAGGTCCTCCAAGTGATTCTATGGTATACTTCTCCCAGAAGTTTCTATAGAATTGTGTTGAAGGACCTAGCAAATTCCTAGAGAATATCCTTCTCTAAGTCCACTAGAACTCAATGGTATGCTACTGGTACTGTAAGTGAGATCATTAGTGGTGCTTGGTTGCACCTGCGCTTTCATATAATTTTGGTTTGACCAGGAACATATCCCCCATGGATCTAGGGGTCTTAGGCGCCTTCCAGCTATATAAAATCCACATTGAACTGGATTATATGGCAGTGTGACTCAGATAACACAGTTTAAAGCAGATATTGTGGATTATTTGTCTTGATATTCTGTGTTATATGGCAATGTGGAAGGGACCTTACTGCCATGACATAATAATTTCCTTTCAGTCTTTCGGTTTAACTTTTAAAGGTAGATTGATTTTCAAGTCTTCTTTAGTTTGTGGACTAAATACCCAAAGACATCAGCTCTTTTCTGATCTTGGAAGTAAAGCAGGGTGAGTTCTCTTTAGTTTTGGATGGGATACTATCAATGAATTGTGTAGTCTATATTTTTTGATTTTGATTATTCCTTACCTAAGAAACTGCATGAAATTCATGGTGTTGCCATAAGTCAACAGTGACTTGAAGGCACATTGATAGACATACACAAAGTATACATTTTGGTCTCTGTCCTGTGTGATTAATATGTAAGTAAAGGTAAAGGTTTCTCCTGACATTAAGTCTAGTTGTGTCCGACTCTGGTGGTGCTTATTTCCATTTCTCAGCCGAAGAGCTGATTTTGTCCATAGACATCTCCAAGGTCATGTGGCCAACATGACCGCATGGAGTGCCGTTATCTTCCCGCCAGAGCGGTACCTATTGATCTACTTACATTTGCATGTTTTCGAACTGCTAGGTTGGCAGAAGCTGGGTCTAACAGCAGGAGCTCAGCCCACTCCCCAATTTGAACTGCCAACCTTTCAGTTAGCAAGTTCAGAAGCTCAGTGGTTTAACCCACTGTGCCACCAGTGGGTTAATGTGTATTTTACAGAAATGCTTTGATTTGTATCTTTTATGGAACTGAATTTTAATGTGTGTTTTTAGAATTTTTAAATAGTATTTGTGTCTTTTTAACTGTGCTGTGACCTGCCTCAAGCCATGGGGAGAGGCAGGTCATAAATAATAATAATAATAATAATAATAATAATAATAATAATAATTATTATTATTATTATTATTATTATTATTAACCAACCACCCTTCTCCAGTTGTGGCCTTATAGCTGTTGGATTATGAAAGCTATTGTCTTAACATATCTGGAAGACATCATGCTGAAGAAGACTGCAATCTTGGACCCAGTTGTTCTAAGGACAGCTTGTTCCTATGTAAAGTTGCCAACATTTCAGGTTAATGTTGCCAGCCTTGTTTTGAGAAGCCCCAGTCAATACAAAGTCTAAACCATCTGGAGGATTAAAGCTTGAGAACTACTGTTTTGGGTCTGTAATTCAAATCATATTGAGATTCTAATTCTGCTGTTGTTTTCAATTGTTTTATTCATGACTGTGTTTTTTAATTTGTTCCCGTGTTGGCTTAATGATTAAAGAGGGCAGATAAGGCAGGACTAGGCATAGCTGGTGTCTTTCCCCCCCAAGTCCACCACCTACTGTAGATGCAAATGTGTGGGTTTTCCTGATCCATTTGTAATGCAAAATATTTTGGAGTGGCTTAGTCTGGGAATGGCTTAGTCTGGGAATTACCATTAACATTTGTTGTTGTTGTTCATTCGTTCAGTCGTCTCCGACTCTTCGTGACCTCATGGACCAGCCCACGCCAGAGCTCCCTGTCGGCCGTCACCACTCCCAGCACCCTCAAGGTCAGTCCAGTCACTTCAAGGATGCCATCCATCCATCTTGCCCTTGGTCGGCCCCTCTTCCTTTTGCCTTCCACTTTCCCCAGCATAATTGTCTTCTCTA